GCGCGGATAAAGACGGCGCCCCCACTTTCGATCAGTTCGATTCGCTGGCGCAACGCTCGCAACGATCGATTCGCTAGCGAACGTCCAATGACGTCATAGAAACCACAAACCCTTCCAGCCACTATGCTTCACTGTCCTTAACACACTCCAACTCCGCTCCAAAAATTTCTCTCAAACTGCTGTCGAACGGAACATTGCACAACATTGCAACATTGGAAGAACCTTACACAGCAGCAAATAATCATTCAATATACAAGATAAAACAAGTACATGGCCCATCCCAACTGTATTGCAAGACGCTGAAGTTCTCATTCCACTTCATTGTTTCAATGATCCTTTTAAAAGTGAATCTGATGGGTATGGCAGGAAACTCTTCCATGTTCGTTCACCTTGAGATTGCACTAATTCACAAAGACAGGGCGGCGGGCCGCCGAACGCGAAAAAACGGACCCGAAATTGATTTCCACTTCACCTTTTGGTTTTACAGCCTTCGATATCCCAAAAACTTCAATCCTTCACGGTCATCGGCCAGAGTGTTTCATTCCTTCCCTTTCGTTTGTCATGCAGTCCTATTTGTCGTACTCTTAGCTTACTGAAGATAATCGACTTTTTGAACTCCTAAAATGAGTATTCCAACTGCAGCGTGCTTCAGGTACAGAAAATTAACGCCCGTCCCCTCTCAGAGAGTTCTTAATAGGCTCCCTACCACCACCATCAGCCTTAGTAGGACTCCCCCTTTATATCTTGTTACCACCTCACCACCATGGCTATTTCCATAGCATATGATTCCGTGACCAGTTGACACGCTCCAACCTCCGCCCACTTTTCTTCGAAATGATCGTCGAGTGCAGGAGTGGGGGGGGGGTGGAGGAGATGAATGTGGATAAATGTAGCCTTCTCAATTTTACGCTACTTTCCTGCAGTTTTCCTAAAAATCGTCAGAAAATAAGTCACAAATAACTCTTCTCTCCTCTTCTATCGCAACCACTCCTTCACTTTCCCAGTTATGGCTCTCCTGTTCAATCTTTTCAACTTCATCAATCACTCAGAACTCCCCCAAAACTCGAAGATCCCCCTCCCATAAGAACAACGGAGTGTTCGGTTGACTCTCATTGCAAGCCCTGAGTATAGAGCGCCGTTAAACTGCACTC